AGCTTACTTACTTATTAACTATATTAAATTATAATTAAATATTATACTTAACCTATAATAATAAATCTTTACTATTTTTAGTTAAAATATATAATATTACTAAACTTAAATAAAGGTCTAGAATTAAATAAATATCTTAATTAATTATCTATATAAAGAGGGCTCTTCTCTTATAGAAAATAGCTACTTTAAAATAATAAATATACTCCTTATCTTTCTATTAACCTTTCATCTTATCTACTTCTTATATTATACTACCTTTTACTTTATAATAACCTTATATACCTTAATAACTAGTATAGAATAGCCTACTACATTTTAGGATAACCTACTAAGTAGATTATTTATCTATATATAGTTAGACTTAATAGAGTTATACCTTTACTAGTTTTTTCAATATTTAATTGATTATCTTTAATAAATTATTTAAGATATAGAGATTTACTTAAGTATATAAGGACTTTATTTTAATATAAAAAGACTTTATTAAAGGGAAAGAAGACATAATCTCTAATAAACTAGATAATAATTCCTTAGATTAAACTTACTAATATAAGACTAACCTTTTCTCTTTTAGATTAGCCTTACATAGCCTTATATATATATACTAAACCTATCTAGTCGTCTTAGAAGGTGGTGGGCTGTCCTATACGCTGGTGGCCGACTTTAGCCACTGTAGTATCCTTCTATCTCGGAGAAGTGCTAAAAACGCCACTATAGGTGGAAGTCCTCTCGTAGACTAAACGCCAGCGTAACGTGGTAGATAACGTGACTTTATCTCGGAGTCAATCTCGCTGCCATTAACGTAGCAGATCACGCCCCTACTAATAACGTAAGGAGGACTGCGCTACCGTACGCGGTAGAACCGGGTTAATAAGTCGAGAAAAGCGACCCTCGATGGATTCAAACCAACCACCGTCCCACGACCTACCTAGCCAACACTACCTAGGTATTTGGTTACTCGTGGGAAACGAGGAAAAGCAATGGCGGGCTGTGCACCAAAGAACCGTCCCAACTACCTACCTCTAGACACTTGTGAAGATGTGATGTATCTATTCACGGCTTAATTAATGATAAGAGTTTGCGTTGTTCTACTAAGTATCTTGCAGGCTAATCCTGACAAGAGAAACATTGCAAAACACAAACAGAAACATTTAGACTGTAGTTTTGAAATTTACCTTCTGGAAGACCTTGACGCTATATATATACATTCATAAGTGCCTCGGTATTCACCTAGCTTGGGCTGGACCTACCCCGCCGAAAAAAAAAAAATTGAAGCTCAGGCATCAGATAAAATAATGCTATCGCAATGTCAAGGCCTGACTGATGAATTGGGAGCAGTAGACTCTTCTCGTCGCATTTCGTGGTTCTTCAGTCGCTGCTATTGGGAAAATTGAGTCATACCGGGCTGACCTCGCCAAGTGCGTGAGTGAAGAATCTTGGCCAGAGAGCTAGGAAGCCCTAATTAGAAAAACCCGCGCGCATGTAGATTGGAGACTTCGAGGCATAGAACAGTTTATAATTCGCAATCTGTCTTTAAGCTGGGTTCATAAATGAACGATAGAATTCGATTTATTTGCCTTTTATTCACAGCATAAAAAAAAAACAGAAATACGCCGAAGTAGACCAGCTTCATGGGAGCGGTAGTGGGCGGTGAAAACCATCAACGTGGGGTCCTCCATCCTCATCTTCTGCCTAAAACATCACCACAATTTCAACTACTGCCGCATGAAATAATCGGACTCACGACCCGATTTCGGAAACTTCGGCTCGGCATATAGCGTTGATTGCCCCTGATGGTCTCTTAACTTCGTCTGACACACGATTGCGCCGACATGTCAGAGATCCCCCCCAACAGCGGAGACGCTGCATCCAGGTTCGACCTTGCTGAGACGGCCAGAATCCTGGCTTCCTCTTCAACTTCCGCCCGCATCAGTCGGCTTCATTTCCTTGGTGAGGCAATATCACACAGAAGTACGACAATGCAGCATCTGGAAGGCTCATTGATATTAATTAATTTCCAGAGCTCAATCGAAATGACAGCCAAACGATCCTCCAGTCCCTCTTCGCTACTGTTCCGTTTTACCAAGATCGCGAATCGAGATTAGCCGTACAACGATGCTTGATATCACTTGTTACCGTGAGCACTGAGGGAGACGACTTTCAACGCATCGTTCAAACTGTCCACACAGAGAGCCAGAAGCAAGCAGTCGCTACATCGACTGCATTTGTCTGGGTGGAATGGTGCAGCGTCCTTGTGCAACATCTCGCCGGGACTCATAGATGGGAAACTTTTGGTAGAGAGATTCTCATATCGGTCGCCGATTTTCTGGAGAAATGCCTCCGTCATCCGCTGAAGCACGGTATTGCTCGATCAGCTCTGGTTGTAACCCGGCGAGCATTCCGAAAGCTCTTTGGCATGCTTGATACTGGCAATAAAGCGCTGGAAGATGCTGTCAAGGTTCTCACATCCAAGCAAGCGCAGCCTACCGCGAAATTTTCTTTGATCCTAGGAGTCATTGCTGGGGTATGCGCTCGTTCTCCTCTGTTGAAAAGATCATTTTCTCCATTAAAGTCGAGTTATTACGAATTCTACGCTAGAGAGGTGATCGGCTCGCGCGTCTCTATACCGGCGCATATCGCTGATGGCCTAGATGACTTCTTCGCCGCGTTCTCGTCGGGAGAAGAGCTCAAGGCAGATATTATGCCAAACATTGAGAAGGGCCTGCTACGATCCCCGGAAGTCATTCTCACAGGCGTCTTGAAGCCACTAATTAGCTCACTTCCGAAAGGCCTCGACATGTCGGAAGTCCTCGAGAAAAGCCTTCTCAAACCAATAATCTCGAACCTCAGATCGACGAACGCATCAATTCGAGACGCTTCTGTCACCGTCTTCAGCGTCGCAATTGCGCGTTGTCAAGATCAGGAAGCTATCAACCGCATCATCCAGGACATTTCCGGTCCTCTGAAAGCTGGCAAGATTGCTTCTGCCGACCACCGTATTCTGTACGCCTCGATGCTGGAGAGCATTCCCCTGTCAGCCACAGCTGCAGAAGCTGTATCTACGACGCTTGCAGCTGTCACGGCTAAAGAAGGAAACGAGGCAGCACTTTCTGCAGAGCTTCGAGCTCTGGACATAGCACTTGGCTACATGTTGAGAAGCAATAAAGCTATTCCTACAGCTATCCAAGAGGTGTTAGCGAAAGGACTTGAAGACAAAAGGGCTCCAGTCAAGAAGTTGTGGACCTTAACCGCAGGGCAGATCCTGTGGAGCAACATAGACGCTCCGGTGGTAGACAACTCCAGTTCATTCGTCGAGGCTATTACACCGAAACTAGCAAAGACTCTAGAAGAAGTTGCCTCCAATCCTGCAACAGCCTCGCAGAGTGGATTGATAGTCGGCGCTTATGTCCTTATAGCTCTGCACAAGAGACTCAAGCATCAGTATCAAAAGTCCGATGTGGCACAGGTGTTGGCAAAGGCAGAAATTGCTAACAGAGCACTCAACATCACAGATAAGCAAGCGGTCTTATTGAGCCCGAGAATTTATAACAAGGCTACCACTGAGGAAGACCTATTGTGGCTCCTCCGAGCGCTGACATCTGCATCGGAACACCTCCGGAGTGAAACAAGCGAAGTTTCGGTTGCATGGGCTGAAGCTATGATATATCTCATTTCTGGCCCATCTATTCCTCCCGCTGTGCAAAGGAGGGCTGTGCAGGCTTTGTCAAAGCTATACGCAGAACGACCCGGTGTTATCTCCGACTTTGTCATCCATAGCCTGTGGAAGACACTCAGCCAGCTACACAGTAATGAGAAAGACATGAAGCTAGAAAGCGCAAGCTTGGGCAAAGTGCTTCGATCGATAGCTTTGCACCCTGTGGAGATATCAAAGAACGCTGATCCAGCAATCCGAGAGCAGCTAGAAGAGCAAGCGTGCTCAATCGTCGTTCTGGCGCGGCCAGAACTTATTTCTCACTCAAACTGGATCGATACTGTTATTCGAATGGGTATTGATCCTGGCGAATTGACGCGCAACCATCGCGAGAGTCTACTAAGGGAAATTGGAGTCAGAACTGCTCCTGAGCAGGTAAGCGTCGACAACCATTGACATGTCTGTGTAAAAAGGCTTACAATCTGGCATCAGCCCACAATCATTAAACAAGCAGCATACAATGCCGCAGCTGAACTCGCGTTTGTCGCGCCGGATGTCGTCGTTCCACGACTTCTAAAATTGATTGGACGGGACCTTGATCGTGACGGTCTGCGCTCCATTGGCCCTCTCGAAATGGCAATTTCGCGAACTCCCGAGGGGATAAACTTCGTGGATGTCCTGGGAAAGAAGGCGAAAGGCAGCACACCCAACAAGAGAAGTCCAGCTGAAGAGATCCTCAGTTGGGAGCAAGATGCACGAAGGCAGATTGAGCAAAGAAAAACTCAAAGCAAGAAGTTGCCTGGAGAAGATGTTTTAAAGATAAATGCACAACTAAGGAAAGAAAAGGGCATCCGAACATCGGTGCAAGAGCTGCAAGCAAAGATAAATCGCGGCATTGGCATCATCGAAGCGTTGGCCACTGGGCCCCCAACGGATGCCACTTTGTGGCTTGGCCAATCTGTGAAACTTTTGCTTGATGCTATTGAGGAGGGTGCGTCTTTCGTTGTTGGGGAAGTTGTTGCAACAGCATTCTTGAAGTGCTCTGAGAAAATCTCCGTAAGACTTGGAGCCATGCGACCCTTTATTGGCGCTGCCACGCTGCGACTCCACGGGGTGGCACTGCCAGAAAGCTTCTGTGAAGAGTCTCTTGAGAATCTTCTGACAAGGACACTTTACAGACTCAGATTCGCCGGTGAACAACGTCCTTTTGATGTCGCTACCCTCACCTACGTATTGCCACTACTGATGGATATTCTGCGCACTGGTGGTGTTGGCGCAACGGATGACGAACGCGATGCTCAAATTGTTTTGGCTGTGGAAGTCATTTCTTTCCACACTGATGTTTGCGAGGATGAGACGCTCCCCCGCGCCGAGGTTATCACCACCTTAGTGGGTGCAATGCAACGGTACACACAGCACTACAAGATCATCAAAGACTGTTTCGCAGACATCTGCCGCTGTATTGCTCCCAACATCAGCAGCCTTGAGATGCGTGTACTGGCCAAGGGATCGACTGCACCCTCTAGCACAGTCCGTACGGCTATTTTGCAGTCAATCAGTGCAGAAGTTGATATGACCGAGTTGCAATATTCCGCTGAGATATGGTTAGCGTGCCACGACGATCTAGAAGAGAACAGGGAGCTTGGTCGCGAGATTTGGGAAGAAAGCGGATTTTCGATCCAGGAATCTCTCATCGCTACATTGGTGCCGTTCTTGGAGAGTAAAGATGCACAGTTGCGCAGATCCGCCGCTAGATCACTTGCAGAAGCAGTAGCTTCGCAAAAGCGCTGTATCGAGCCCCTCCTGTCACAGCTGAAAACGTCATATAGCGAGCTTGCCAAGCCAAGAGCACAGAAACTTGACGAATATGGCATTTCTGTCAAAATGGACCTTTCCGATCCTTGGGAAGCCCGTCAAGGCATTGCCACGGCTTTCAAAGAACTTTCCCCTGCACTCAACACTGCACAATTAGAGGCGCTCTTTGTGTATCTCATTGAGGCTGGCCCCTTTGCCGATGTTGATAGCAATGTCCGCGGCGAAATGTTGGACGCTGCTCTCCGGGCTATCGATAATCACGGCAAGGCCATGGTCGAAACTCTCATGAATAAATTCGAAGCGACTCTTGAGAAGGGTGACCAAACCAGTGACGCCGCTGATCGATTGAGTGAAGCCGTTATTATTTGCTATGGTGCTCTCGCTAGCCATCTTCGCCCAGGGGATGCCAAGATTCCGATTGTCATTCAGCGCCTCCTGACCACTCTGAGCACTCCTTCTGAAACTGTGCAATTCGCGATCGCAGAATGTCTCCCACCACTCATTAAGGCATGCCCTGAGAAGACACCCAAATATTTTGAACAAATCATGGACGAGCTTCTGAACTCGAAGAAATATGCGGTGCAGAGAGGAGCGGCGTATGGCTTGGCCGGTGCCGTGCAGGGCCGAGGGATCGGGTCGCTGCGCGAGTATCGTATCATCTCTAATCTCAATGCTGCGATGGAAAATAAAAAAGATGCGCAACAGAGAGAGGCGGCGCTGATCGCATTCGAGCTTCTTTCAAACATCCTTGGAAGACTTTTCGAGCCTTATGTCATCCAGATCGTCCCCCAACTTCTTGGTGGATTCGGTGATAGTAACGGTGACGTGCGTGATGCCTGCTTAGCGGCTGCGAAGGCTTGCTTCGGCAAACTCAGCTCTTATGGTGTCAAGAAAATCATGCCAACCCTTCTTGGCGGCTTGGACGACCAGCAATGGAGAAGCAAGCGTGGTGCTTGCGATTTGCTTGGTGCAATGGCCTATCTGGATCCAAATCAGCTTGCCACCAGCTTACCCGATATCATTCCTCCTCTTACCGGCGTGCTGAATGATAGTCATAAGGAAGTACGCGCAGCGGCGAATCGGAGCCTGAAGCGGTTTGGGGAGGTTATCAATAATCCAGAAATCAAGAGCTTAGTCGACATTCTCCTAAAAGCTCTGAGTGATCCCACCAAATTCACTGACGAAGCTCTTGATTCCCTTATCAAAGTTCAATTTGTGCATTATCTTGATGCACCGTCTCTGGCTCTAATAACAAGGATACTACAAAGAGGCCTTGGCGATCGCTCTAACACTAAACGCAAGGCTGCCCAAGTTATTGGTAGTTTGGCTCATCTGACTGAGAAAAAGGACATCATCGTTCACCTTCCAATTCTGGTTGCGGGCCTGAAGGTTGCCGCTGTTGACCCTGTCCCTACGACCAGAGCCACGGCGTCAAGGGCTCTAGGTTCTCTCGTTGAGAAGCTTGGAGAGGAGGCTCTCCCCGACCTCATCCCTGGCTTGATGCAGACGCTGAAATCTGATACTGGTGCCGGCGATCGTCTTGGTTCTGCCCAGGCGCTCAGTGAAGTTCTCGCTGGACTTGGTACAACAAGACTGGAGGAGACGCTGCCTACAATCTTGCAAAACGTTGACTCTTCCAAAGCAGCTGTCAGGGAAGGATTTATGTCTCTCTTCATCTTCCTTCCTGTCTGCTTTGGCAATAGCTTTGCCAACTATTTGGGCCGTATCGTCCCACCTATTTTGGCTGGGCTCGCGGACGACGTCGAGTCAATTCGAGACACCGCTTTGCGCGCTGGTCGTCTTTTAGTCAAGAACTTCGCGGTCCGCGCTGTCGATCTTTTGCTGCCGGAGCTGGAACGTGGTTTGGCGGATGACAGTTATCGAATCCGACTGAGCTCAGTCGAGCTAGTTGGAGATCTACTCTTCAACCTAACCGGTATCAAGGCCAGTACTGAATTCGATGAAGACGATGATGAAGCTTTTAAGGAAGCAGGAGCTTCTCTCAAAGAGGCTCTGGGGGAAGAAAAGCGTAACAAGATTCTTTCCGCGCTTTATGTTTGTCGCTGCGATACTTCAAGTGCTGTCCGATCTGCTGCTATATCGGTCTGGAAGGCGTTAGTGCATAACCCCAGGACTCTGAAGGAACTAGTACCGACCTTGATTCACCTCATCATTCGACGACTAGGTAGTTCCAACATGGAACACAAAATTATTGCCAGCAATGCTTTGGGTGAATTAATCCGAAAGGCAGGAGACGGTGTGCTTGCAAGCTTGCTGCCTACGTTAGACGAGGGCCTTCAGACCTCTACCGACTCAGATGCCAAGCAAGGCATTTGCCTTGCACTCAGGGAGCTCATTTCCTCTGCTACGCCTGAGGCACTGGAAGAGCATGATAAGACGCTTATTGCTGTTGTACGAACAGCACTCATCGATTCTGATGACGAAGTGCGAGAAGCCGCTGCCGAAGCATTTGACTCTTTGCAGAATATCTTTGGCAAGCGTGCTGTTGACCAGGTTCTTCCATACCTGCTCAATCTCCTTCGCTCAGAAAGCGAAGCCGACAATGCTCTTGCAGCATTACTCACACTCTTGACAGATACGACCCGTTCCAATATCATCCTGCCAAACCTCATTCCAACACTCACAAGTCCACCAATCTCTGCATTTGACGCAAAGGCTTTGGCATCACTCTCACGTGTCGCTGGCGCTTCTATGAACCGCAGACTGCCTAACATCATAACATCTCTGCTCGAAACCGAGATCAACTGCACAGAAGAGGAGCTGCACCGTGACTTGGAAAAATCTTTCGATACCGTTGTGCAGTCTATTGATGAGTACGATGGATTGAATACTGTCATGAATGTTCTTCTGGGTCTTCTCAAGCACGATGATCACCATTGGCGTGCTGCGACAGCGCGTCATATGACGAGCTTCTTCGCGGCAGCCTCGGTTGAGTACTCTAGATACAACCAAGATATCATTCGTTCGCTGCTCAACTCCTTTGACGATAGCGATGCTGCAGTGGTCAAAGCTTCATGGGCCGCCCTGAGCGAGTTCACGAAGAAGCTGAGGAAGGAAGAAATGGAGTCTCTCGCTCCCTCGACTCGACAGACCCTGCAGCGCGTCGGTGTTGCTGGAGCAAACCTGCGAGGATTCGAACTACCAAGGGGCATCAACGCTATTCTACCAATCTTTTTGCAAGGCTTAATGAATGGTACGGCGGATCAGCGTGTGCAAGCTGCTCTGGGTATTTCGGACATTGTTGATCGTACCAGCGAAGCTAGCTTGAAGCCGTTTGTCACACAAATCACAGGTCCGCTTATTCGTGTCGTCTCTGAGCGGTCAACTGACGTCAAATCTGCTATTCTGTTAACGCTCAACAATTTATTGGAGAAGATGCCCACTGCATTGAAACCCTTCCTGCCTCAATTGCAGAGAACATTTGCGAAGTCCTTGGCTGACAGTTCGAGTGAGGTTCTACGCACAAGAGCCGCGAGGGCACTTGGAACCTTGATCAAGTATACTCCGCGAATCGACCCTCTCATCGCGGAACTTGTTACTGGATCCAAGACTACAGATTCGGGTGTCAAGAAAGCCATGCTCAAGGCTCTGTACGAAGTGATTAGCAGAGCAGGCGCGAACATGGGCGCAGCTTCCCGCACGGCTATCCTGTCATTGATCGATGGCGATGTTGACGAAAGTGATGCTTCCATGGCAATTACAAATGCACAGCTCCTTGGAGCCTTGATAAAGAATGTGCCCGAGGACGCTGCTGCAAGCCTGCTGCGCAATCGTGTAGCTACACCAAACTATAATCTATCCTCAGCTCTTGCCCTGAACGCTGTTTTGGTCGAGTCACCAGAGGTATTGGTCCAGAGTGCCATGGCTGAGGATCTCCCTGACCTTCTATGTGAAGGCATGACTGCCAAACCAGTGAGTTGTTCCTTCCCAGCTCTTGACTATTCTTCTAACAATCGTGGTCAGACCTTTGTTGGAGACAATTATATCTTGGCTGCTGGCAAATTGCTTCTGTCATCGCCTCCCAGGAATTTCGATGCTACGAAGAGTATCTTTGAGAGTCTTGCAAGTATTATACAGCCGGGCTCCCCTTCAGATTCTCGCAGGCTGGCCTTGGTCATCATACGCACTGTGAGCCGAACAAACATGGAAATTGTTCGTCCACATGTGCCACTGCTGGCTACGCCGATTTTCTCCAGCGTGCGAGACCCTGTCATACCCGTCAAGCTTGCTGCTGAGGCGGCTTTTGTGGAGTTGTTCAGTGTTGTAGAGGAAGAGAGCAGGATTTTTGATAAGTACATGGCTGGACCCGGAGCAGATCTGCCGGCAAATACAAAGAGAAGCATGTCCGATTACTTTAAACGAGTTGCGACGCGTTTGGGTAGCCAGGCCCGTGAAAGAAGAGAGGCTGAGGGTGGACAAGGCGGACTAGGCTTGTCCAACGACGAGCAGGAAGACGAACGTGAGATTTGGAGCGTTGGGCAAGTAGAAATCGAGGGGGAAAGTTTTACATAGTAGTAAAATGTGAGCCTGGCAAAAAACAATAGAATCTAAAACATTTGCATGAGATGCTATCTTCAGCTTGAGATTGTCCCCTTGACCTAATTTATGAGTTATATTTGCTACAGTGACACACACGGCGCACACAATGAGCGTGTATTAAGTAGCACTACTACTTGATAATATTAATGCAGTATAATTTTCAAAACAATGGGAATGGATCTAATTGCTTGAAGTATCGGTATGCGAAGCACAAATGGCTGAGTGTTATAGCGGCGTTATGTGCAGCTTGGCAGCTTTGACACCTCACGCTAAAGCAAGCAAGGCTTGTCGAAACACTACGCAGTCACGTGAGGAGAGCGACTTCCACTTACCTCATCACAGCCCTCGCTTAGTGTGGAGTTTTGGGCTTAATGCACGTGAACCCACAAACTCTGTGGTGAATGTGCGCCCAAGAAATTTTGGCTTCCCGAAACCCCTCCCAAGTCTTTACCTCTCTCACCAATATCGAGGAACGACCATCTCCGCCTCCCGATTTTCAAGATGTGAGTAGTTGATGAATGGAGGGCAATGCGACATGGGAAACTGTTTCGAAATACCATCAACATCACATTGGATGAAGCCGAGCCGAGCGAAGAAGTTATAGATGAAATAGCGCTGTTCGTTCTGCTAACGAATACCGTTTTTCAGGGTCAATCTGCGAACTCAGAAGCGCCTCGCCGCGTCGGTCGCTGGCTGCGGCAAGCGCAAGATCTGGCTCGACCCCAATGAGCAGAGCGAAATCTCCAACGCCAACTCCCGCCAGACCATCCGCAAGCTGGTCGCCGATGGCCTCATCATCCGAAAGCCCGTGACGATGCACTCGCGCTCCCGCGCCCGTGAGCTCAACCTCGCCCGCAGAGTCGGTCGTCACCGTGGCTACGGTAAGCGCAAGGGTACTGCCGACGCCCGTATGCCTTCTCAGGTTCTATGGATGCGCCGTCTTCGAGTCCTACGCCGCCTTCTGGTCAAGTACCGCGCCAGCGGAAAGATCGACAAGCACCTGTACCACGAGCTCTACCACCTGAGCAAGGGTAATACCTTTAAGCACAAGCGTGCTCTTGTTGAACACGTGCGTATACGGTCTAGGAATACGAATTCTTGAGTAAGGAATAGACGACGACTGACTTGTCGAACAGATTCACCGTGCCAAGGCCGAGAAGCAGCGTGAGAAGGCTCTCAAGGACGAGATGGACGCGAAGCGTGCGAAGACCAAGGCTGCCAGAGAGCGCAAGCAGGAGAGAGCTGCCGCCAAGCGTACGGCTATGCTTGCCGATGATGAGTAGACTACATAGGTTGCCGATGTCTGGAGAAGGGGCTGCATTCGGAGTCTACGGGTTGGGTCTTGTTTTACACCCTTCTGGGTATTCAGTCGTACCAGCGGGAATTATGGCATGTAGCATTGAAAAATGGAATCCATACGGTCAATGTCGGAACTCTACTGAGCGGTGTTGCTACGTCTAAGATCGCCGCGTCTTGGGATGGTGCAAAATTTAACGCCCATGATGAGAAATTGAAAAGAACAAAAGTGCTTTATTCTCAAAAAGAAAGAAAAAAACTGAACAAAGTCCCTCACTCGCTTTCGCACTAACTCGGGATGACAACTACCTTAGCCAACCGTGAATCGGGCTGTACTCATCCGCAAGATGGATAGTAATACGGCGATTTTAGCATTCTGAGATTTTGAGAGTGGCGTATTGGAGAATGCGAGGCGTAAAGGTCACTTCATCGGTTATCAGTAGTAAGCCATGCCAGGCTCATGGCACAGGAACTATCTGCGTCCTGAATCTACACTGCGACGCCGGAGTCGTCAAATTGCACCGGTTGCGACAAGCTACCCGAGACGAACGATGCTGGAGTAAACTGTGCGAAAAGGGCGATAAGAAAATCATAGTGCCTACGTACTATTCAATAGGATTGAGGGGGTGAGAGCTGCATGCGTTGGTCCTGTGGACTACGGAAAAGATTAAAGCTAATCTGATCAATTAGATATGGATTCTGGCTCCTTCCGATCATTTTAAGAAGGTGGAGAGGTGAGCCGGAGCATATCAGCAAAGGCTCACACATAAGTACGATTTAAATGCACATGGCCGTCACTTCACGCGAAACCTCGGTTACTCCAGTAGTTCAATAAAGGGTTGGTTACTAATAAGCACGAGCCCAATGGACCCATGATACCGCTCAACGCTGCCAAGACCATGTTTGGTTCCATTCAGGAAAAACGCTCACAGAATGGCTGGCTCGACAAAGATTGCTGAGGTATGATTTTTGCAAATCGAAGAAGATATGACAATCGGCTTTGGAATCCACCATTTCGATGACCCCAGAAAAACGGCAATGTTCTTTTTGGATGAACAGATCTCCACAATCATTATTGTGAGCCACAACTGGCTAATACTGGTTACTCCGCACCTCACAATTACGGAACGAAATAGTATCTATGGCTGGTTCTGAGTATGTGAACTTTTTTTAGCCGCGCCAGGGGTCGGGTGACTGTATCCGTTTTCTACTCAGTAGATCGGAGTGGGATGAGTGGTACGATGGGCCAGCTCGAGTTTTCATTGCCGAGTCTTGTTATGTACTTTTTACCTAAAATATTATTAAATATATGGGCAAAGAGGGCAAGTTATATGGAGCTGATGGGCCCTGGGTGCCACTGCACCGTAAATTGTAGCCGTAATGTCACTGCCATTATGTCAGGCATGGCGGCTGTACGCTGTTGACGCTGTGACCAACCATGTGGGGGACAAAAAGACGAGCGGGTTTGAGATAGCAGCTTACTTCTAAACTGCCAGTTTCGAACGACATGGTAGTCTACTTTAAAATAAAAAAAAAGAACTCTTATAGACTCTAAATTGACTAAATATCTATTCTAAATTTTTAAAACTATTGATCAGCTTCTTCTGGTGCGTAGTTGTGACTAAGAACATAGCATCAATAATGATCGAGCGCTCGTTTTTTTTGTCACCCTTTGCCAACCAACAGTTTGGATGCGGGGGTGAGCGTAACTTGCGGGTAACGCCGGTCGGAGGCCATCGGCTCCTCCATTTCTTTAAACAGTACGAATGCCAGCGTCAAAAAGTCCGCCTGACAGGCATTCTCTCCAGCGGCCTGCCTCTGTCTTCGACTCTACACTCGCCTGTCGACACCCACATCTTTGCACTCGTGCATTTGCTGCACTCAATTGCTACTGAGTGCTGGTCCATTGCTTCTGACGACGGCCAAGCGACCCAGCTTTGCGCCGGCCGATTTTCCAGCCGCAGGCAAAACCCTTCCATCCGTATTCGTCAAAATGTCGATACCCAGCCTCCGTGGCGCTTTCTTTGCCCTTCGCAGCGTCTCGCACCCCATGGTAGTCTCTGCTGTCATGCGCAATGGTGCTCGTCGCGCTAATTCTTCCATTGCGCTCGAGGGCCAGCAGCAGGTATGGAACCGTTCTCAAGCTTGTGTGCCGAATCAGGGCGTGATACTGACGAGCTTATCGCAGCTCCTCTCCGCTCCTCTCTCCAAGGCCGATCCGGCCGTTTTCGACATCATTGAGAAGGTTCGTCTCCCGACACAGTCATGGTCGTCAACCCCTCTGATGAGACTTGTTCCCATTGCGTTCTAACAATCCCGCAGGAAAAGCACCGCCAGAAGCACTTCATAAATCTGATTCCTTCCGAGAACTTCACTTCCCAGGCAGTTCTCGATGCCCTGGGCAGTGTAATGCAAAGTCAGCATCAGCAAAAACTACTTTGTATTTGTGAATGCTAACCGCCAGTGATCAGACAAGTACTCGGAGGGTTACCCCGGTGCCCGCTACTATGGCGGAAACGAATTCATTGACCAATCTGAACGACTTTGCCAACAGCGGGCTCTTGAGGCCTTCAGCCTGGATGCAAGCGATTGGGGCGTGAACGTCCAGCGTCAGTGGCCATCACCCAGTCCTGTTTTCCGCATTTGTTAACCCGCGCCACAGCGCTCTCCGGTGCTCCCGCTAATCTCTATGTGTATTCGGCTCTTATGGCTACTCACGACCGCCTAATGGGTCTTGATCTACCCCATGGTGGCCACTTGTCCCATGGCTATCAGACGCCCACCAAGAAGATCTCGTCTATCTCCAAGTACTTTGAGACTGTTCCTTACCGCCTGGACGAGAAGACTGGGTACATTGACTATGAAAAGCTTGAGGAGCTTGCTCTTCTTTATCGCCCTAAGATCATTGTTGCAGGTGCCAGCGCCTACAGCCGTCTGATTGACTACAAGCGTATTCGCGAAATTTGCGACAAGGTCAACGCCTACATGCTCGCGGATATGGCACATATTTCAGGTCTAGTCGCCGCCAACGTCCTCCCTGGTCCCTTCCAGCACGCCGATATTGTCACTACAACCAGCCACAAAAGCCTTCGCGGCCCTCGCGGTGCTCTTATCTTCTTCCGCAAAGGCGTTAGACGCCAGAACCCAAAGACCAAGGTCGACGAGATGTACAATCTTGAGGGCCCTATCAACAACTCCGTCTTCCCGGGCCACCAAGGTGGGCCCCACAACCATACCATCACTGCTCTGTCTGTTGCTCTGAAGCAGGCTCAGACTCCTGATTTCCACGCCTATCAGTCTCAGGTCCTCGCCAACGCGAAGGCCTTTGCTAAGCGCCTTGGTGATGACAAAAGCAAGGGCGGTCTCGGCTATAGCCTTGTCAGCGGTGGTACCGATAACCACTTGGTGCTTGCTGATCTAAAGCCCAATGGTGTTGATGGTGGGCGCGTTGAGCGTATTCTCGAGCTTGTCGGCATTGCTGCCAACAAGAACACCGTCCCTGGCGACCGCTCCGCCCTCGTTCCCGGTGGTCTCCGCATGGGTACACCCGCAATGACCAGCCGCGGCTTCACCGAGAACGACTTTATTCGTGTTGCTGACATTGTTGACCGTGCTGTCGCCATCGCTGTCCGACTAGACAAGATTGCCAGATCTGCCGCCAAAGAGAGGGGTGAGAAGAGCGCCGGGAAACTCAAGATTTTTCTCGAACACGTTGGCAACGGCGACAGCGACACCGAGATTGTTCAACTCCGCAGTGAAGTCTCCGACTGGGTCGGCACCTATCCCCTCCCCTGGGACTCTGCCCAGTAAATCATCAGCCGTACTACGTTTGAATATATTCTCTTTCTTGTTTTGTTCACCAAACCGACATAGCATTTCAGACATAAGAGATGAAGAGAGCTGCAAGACTGATCTCTTGTGCGATGCAACCCATGCATTCTTTTGCGCATGGTTAGCAATGTCTACTCTCATGGCAGATGCAGAACGACTCCCACGGCTACGTTGAACCTTATGGAGGCTCATTGACTATTTAACTAATCATTCCTGGCTTCTCAATGCTGTAATGTTTAGCAAACTGGAAACTTTCGAGGTGTTACGCGTCCAAGGCGTCGAGCATCATCATCTAGCGCGAGCTCAGCATTTCCACATTCTCGCTTCTTCCTGCCGTAACACTCACAAGACGCCAATGATCACAGCAATTCAAATTGATGGTGCAAGTGAGGATTCATATATCCCGTCCGCAGCGAACGAGTCTATCAGATTTGCTGTAGCCTACCCAACATTTTGACAGTACTCGACCTTGCCTTCATAGTCTCATAATAAGTGTTAAGTGCTTCCGATTCAGCCAGTGCTTCGTTTCCACACATTTCAATCATTGAGTGTAAGACAGGCCAAAGCGCAAAATCTGCTAGGCTTGGTTGATCGCCGCCAATGTATTTTGCGCCCGACGTGCAAGATTCCCATGGCAGTATTTCAGCCTTTAGAGCTCTTATCAACAATTCGCTGTTCTTGTGAGCTCTGACCATGTCGCGCCACTTCCGGAGTAAATTCAGTGACTTTTGAAATAGAGTGAACTGTTTCGCCAGCTCTGTCAACGTCATGATGCTTTTCTTCTTTTGGTGGTTGGTGTGCAGGTAGAGCATAATAGCGAGATCACCGCTCACTTCTGTCTTGTCCTCGTCATTGTCGACATATTTGATGAGAATATCATCCGTGGACGTTTGCTTGTGTTCACCAGGCCGAGGGGTGGGTGTCGTAATGCTGCCGCTGGCGTATCCAATGTCATACTCTGCGAGCATTAGACGGATCCTCATATTGACAACGGAATCTGCTGAGGAGAAGAACCTTGGCGCGCTGCGCAAATGTAGAACATCAAAGCCTCTACCATAGGTAGAGTCCCAGTCAAAATTCGAGGTGTGATTCTCCATGCCAAAGGCGTGCAACATATCAATACTTTCCTCCGTTTGCCCATTGATGACGTTCTTTGCAGTATCCATAGTTTTCGATGTTGCTCCTTGTCCCCAAATCTTTGTTTCGTCTTTGTTCAAGAAGGTCCCAATCCGTCTAAATGTTAATGAAATGCGTCTCCCTTCATAAGCCAGCTCCTCTGCTGATTTCTCGCGATCAGCTCTTTTGTCTTGTCGAATAGAGTGAAGCCATTTCATGTTCGTCTTCAGCCCCATACGGCAAAGAGAATTGTGTGGCAGAGGCACTCGCTGCACTTTGCGGCGATCGCTGGACGCAGATTGCTCGACATTAGAAGGATCCTTATCCGCTCTCTTTGTTCGAAGCACCATTGTCCTTTGAGCGCCAAGGCTGACGTTCGCAATGTATGAGCCTCGCACAATATCCAAAGTTTTATCACTATGCTCAGATATGTAGTCCTTCCCGTCTCGATAGAACTGTATCAGAACGTGGTTCAATGGATGACCCAGCTGCTTCTCTGTGACAGCCTTGACTTCAAGAACAGTTGGGGAAAACTTAAGAAGCTGCGGCGACTCATCAGATGGATGGCGGTATATTGGGAAAGTCCCGTCGCTGTCAACGTAGCCCTGAACAGCGACTAGTCGCGGCACCTCACCACCTTGGTGTGACATACGCTGCCATTGGACTTCTTTGCTCAGTGTCTCGAAAATACCATCCTCAAGCCCTTGTGGTAGAAGGTTCAGAATCACATCAGTATCTCCTTCACAGAGACCGTGGATCTGTTGATCGTCTTGTTGGGCACTAGCGTCGGTCGGTGAGGTATTCATCGGTGCCGGATGACTTGGTATAGTATTGCTTATTGTGTCTTCTGGTGAAATATCGACAGGCGCTGTGTCTGTTGCTTCTGCTGGTCTACCTATACGTGTCTCGTCAGTTCAGCTACTTCCAGCAAATTCAGTTCCCTTCTGTCGGGATCTTTAGTCGCATACCTTGCATAATGCAGGCTTCAGCCGCACAGGGCGCAATGGCATTCAATGCCAGTGCGCTCATGGACTGTGTAATGTCATTGTCCCGGCGGCTTGCAGGCATACGGCTTGTCTTCAAATCGTCGACACCAGGTTCGTTCAGATATTGGCCGTCTTCCTGCATGATCTCGGTTGACGTTGAGAGATCGCAGCCGGTCAATGCCCGAACCGCCTCTATGGTCTTGATTTGCCTGGTCTCACTGGAGTAGCCGCAGCAATCAATGACGAGTGTGATGGTCAGACCATGCCCAGCTGCATCCACAGTAGTGGCGTATACGCCTGCATTTATTAGAGATCCGCAAATGAAGACCTCCATGGTCATTCTTGCCCGGAGAAGGCGCAACAAGCCCGTGCCCTCGAAGGCAGAATAGTGAGATTTAACCAAGCAAACATCCTTCTTTTCGGCATCATCTTTGGCACACTGCGGCACTTCGGCTCCGATTTTTGAAGAAAGCATGCATTTTGCTCTCTCATAGCTCAGAAAGGCATCTGAACCTGATGTTGGGCTTTTGGAGTCTGAGTGCCCGCGGGTCGTCTTCTCAACGTGCTCATCGTACGGAGGCCTTACCTCTTCAAACCTAGAGTTTACCCAAACCACGTCGCCAGTACGACGAAATACTCTCGCCAAACGCACTATCCTGTCGGCATATCCCTCAGGAAGTGTAATGGGTATCGCTGCGTTTGCGCCAACGAAATCTTGTTGAAAATCAACAATTACGAGGGCCTTTCGTAGTAGTACCTGCGGTAGGGCTACCTGATCAAACTTGAACATTGTTCAGGTATTCAAATGCCTTCCCGTTTCATGCTGAGATAGTGGTATGTTTTTAGTCAAGTTCATAGCCATTTATCTGAGCGGGGCTAGTCGAGAGGCAAGGTAGAGGCATCTCGCCCCGTGCGACCGTTGGTGAGACTCCAGCCTCCAGGGCCCCGCCAGACTGCTCTTCTTTTTTACCTACTGGTATTCGTAGGTACCTTAGGTTTTCATCAGGTTACATTGGTTGATTGACAAGGGTCCGTACATAAAACCTGGGTTCTAGGTACCTACCTAGCGGGGCGATAAATAAGAGTCTTGCTAGCCAGACCTACCATTTTACTTATTAGACCTACCACGTGATGGAAAAAAGACCCCGTTCTTCTAAAGTGCTCAATTTCTAGCGGTATTTCTATATATATATATAGAAAAGAGCCCTAGTAGCAAAGTAGTTACCGTTATAGGCAGCTCTATTATAAAACTTATATACCTAACTATAGATAAATAGTTAGTTTAAATTGAATTAAGGTTACTTCTGAACTAACCTAATTTTATTTTTTATTATATATAATCTTCTTTAAATTATTATATTACTCTAGTAAAGACTAGCTTATTTATTTAATATTTTTATTATTTATAAGTATAAGAAAAACTAAAGTCTTCAAAGGAAAACCTATACTTTTTTGTCATCTCTAGTTTTATGTTTATCTCTAATAAAAGTTACTATAATACTTCTTCTTAATTAAAGTTAAAAATTAAATAAAAGATTAAAAGTCTTAAAGTTACTTCAAAGACTATATATTACTTTAATATATTAATGTCTCTAAGTAATAGCTTACTTTAAATTAATATTAGGTTAAATAAGATAATAATTAAGTAATTAAGTAATTAAGTAATTGGATAAATTCTTCCTTTCTTAGGCTAGCTCTATAACCTACTAAGCCTATAGAAGCTATCTAAGATCAAGATCTAAGATATCTATCTCTAACTTTATCTACCTAAGTACTTAATTATTATTATCATTATAATACCCTAATAACTTATATAAAGTATTTAATACCTTTATAGTATATAAACTAGTAAATATAAAAGAAAACCTTAGAATAAAAAACTCTGATATTTTTATTATTTATAATATTTATATAATATAGAATTATTATTATTAATATCTTTTTATTTTAAAAAAATACTAAAAATATTATTATAAATAAAAATCTTCTTATAAACTAAATATTATTATAATATAATAAGAATATTATTTTAAAAGTTAATTTTATTATTATTAATATAATAATATTAATATAATAAATTATA